CTTAATATAATTGTAGTATTAATATATTGATCATATTTATAATAACCAATATTAATTACAATATCTATAATTAATTTCGTCATATAAAAATAATTTCGGCATTCTAAAATGATTATGGCAGCCTAAAATAATTTTGGCAGCCTAAAATAATTACGGTAGCCTAAAATAATTACGGCAGCCTAAAATAATTACAGCAGCCTAAAATAATTATGGTAGCCAAAATTATTTTCAGTTTTGACAGCTGAAATTATTTTTGGCAATTATATTTTTGGCAAATGCAAAATTAATTAAGGCACTATCTATAGTCACACATATCATAGAATTTGCATTAAGAAAAAGTTTTTACTTACCAAGTAATAAACGTGTTCATTCCCAGACTACAGTAAAAGTGTTGAAATTCTTGAGGAGTTTATTAAGCCCGATTCTTAATCCAGTACTTCTTTATTAGTTGAAAAAATGGGAAAGCAACTTAATATCCAATCTCAAGAAATTATTGATAAGGAGATGGCGAATATCAATAATGGAAAAAATAAAGATAATAATTTGAAGGGAAAAGGTACTGATATATCTGAGGGATCCAATAAAAGACCTATTGAAGTTAATTCTGAAGAGCTGAATATCACGCAAGATAAATCCCTCAGTAAAAAAGTAAAGAAAGAAGTTAAAAAAAAGAATTTCCAGATGCTGAAATAACTTATCAAAGAGTTAACTAGTAATAGTCCATATGTATCTGAAATTAGCAAAGAAGTGGTGTTTGGGCTATCTGAAGATTTACTTTATTTATATAATAATATTACTAATTCTGAATTGCAAAAAGAGATTGCAAGTAGAGAAGTTATCAGGTCATATTTTTTATTTGGAAAAATGATATCACAACATTTTAAATATTATTATGAAAAATCGTATAATTTATATCAAGTTCAAATAGATGTTAACGATAAGTTAAAAGAAAAACTTCTTAATACTTCTAAAAATACCTGTAACAAAAGAAAGGAAAGAGCTCAGAAAATTTATTTCCTTTTCAGTAATATAGGTTATATGTGTTGCCCAAATTTCAAATCATTTGGGATTTGGGATTTGGGCAACACGTATAAAGTATAGTATAGATATTGAAAAAATAGAATTAGTAAAATTTTTTTTAGCAAATTCTATCTCAAAGCTAAATATAGAGAAAATCAAATATATAAAAGATGAAATCATAAAAACTGTATCACAAATCATATGATTCTATCCTTTGGAACAAAATCATGTAACATATATGAATTAAGAATTTATTATTAGCAAATAATATATTGCAATTTATAAAAAATCATAATAAAGTATCAATTATTTTTCTTGCCATTAATGTAATACATAAGATTTGTGAAGTATAAGTTCTTTGAGTCATTGCTTTGCAATAAATTGCATATAATGTTATGTATCTTTATCATCAAAAAATAAACACGTGACCAAATTTTACTTTCAGGTTAGAAGGAAAAACGTCAAGAAAAATTCTCAATCATATATATTAAAAATAATTGTATACAAATTTGATTGTTGGCTGTGGTTATGCATATGACATAGAGCCCCAAGGTTGTGTCTAGTTAAAAATTTGTACAAATTAATTATAAGTTTTTTTCTATTCTTCCATAGGATTATTGAGCCATGCTGTACTTAAACCACTTTTTAGTATACCGTGACATAATAATTCTTTACCGACTAGTCTTTTTCGATCTGTTAAAAATTTATGATATTTTCTGATATCTTTATTCCTTTTTATTCCTCCATAATAAAGGTGTATATCTCTTTCCAAGTCAACAGAAAAATACCCCATGACCCACTTTTTTTTCTCAGTCTCTGTAATAGACAAAAATTTCTTAGGCTCTACCTCTTGAATTTTATTTGGTATATTTACTTGAATTTCTAATAAGCTCTGTTTAGCAATTATAACTTTTTTTTGATCAATACGAAATGAACAATTGAGATAATAGTGATCATCTTTACCTAGACAGTTCCAATCGTTGTTACAGAATGAAAATATCATGATAATATAATATTAAAAACACCTGCAATAATTTATAATAATCCTTAAAATAATA